GGGGGGGAGGAAGAGGTGAGTCTCAGCAGCTTTAAAAGTTAGATGCTGGGTGTCTCAGTGATCACTGAGACTGCCCAGCCAGCATTGTCATGTGATAAATATGCATCTTTTGACTTGTTATATTGAATTTAAAGTGTGTGCATCTTAGATCACTGTTAGCCTATCCGTTTGTACTCTGAAAATTACCACCACCAGTGCATAACTGGGGTTTCTGTTATTTTTGTTCATGTCACACCAAACTCTCGTCCTTTGTTTCTGAAATATTTTGCATTCTTAAATATGTATGTTTTCTATTGTCTTTTACTTTTTTTTTTTCAACTGACTATAATTAGTTCGTATTGCTATCCTAACTTACTAGCTGAGTCAGCTGATACAATTTTGAACAAATTTTATTTTGCTGATTGGAGAGGAAAAGAGAACTGGGAGGGCTTTTGTTTGTTTCTTTTTAAATTTCTTCTAGGGACATTTCCACACAGACTAAACTTAAGCTATGTTTCAGAGAGTCAGTAAACCCAGCTCTAGGACTTCTAGGGTGAGATCCAAAATACCGTAGCCACATGCTGAAACTCAATGGCATGGTATAAGCTGTGTTCATTTGAATGTTTCAAAAGCAGAAGGCTGAAGTACCTCTGTATCGGTAGCATTTCTGCCAGGTCAGGCACAGTATGTTCTTTGCAGATAGCATGAACTTCATAGCATGTGCTGTGGCTAATGCAGTGGAACACAGTTATATGCCCTACCTGGAGCCAGATTCCATTCTTTTTTAGAACAAATTATTTACTTCTGGATCACCAAGCCATACGCAGATCTGATATTAATGGACATGGAGACCCAGCCTTGTACAGTCCAGGCATACAGAGAGCAAGAGTAGTAGCAGAATGTGCATGTGTGTTTATGCGTGTGTGTGTGTGTGCGCATTTATATATATGTAAAGTACTTCTTTTCTGTATAGATATGCACACACGTATTAAAAAATTACTTATCTGACTTGTGGCTTAGGCTGCATAATTGTGGTTCAGTTAAAGAGAATAAACCAACAATATACTTCAAAAACACATCCAGACTTGACATTAACAACTCAACGGATATCGAAATGAATGTAAAATATTTTCTGTCTATAATTCAAAATAAGTAAGTTACTGGCTTATTGCAGTCCTCTATAGCATTGGCAATTATTAAAGAATGTGCATTTCCCTGAAATAGCTACACTGGCATAGTTCTAGTACAGAATAAATCAAGAAAACCAGAAGATTTTAGATTTTTTTTTATTCATGTTTTTGACTTAGAAAATATAACTTAATGCTTGAAAGCTTCTCTAGCATTTACTAACTGATGTTTCTTTCTGAAATTCTTTTTCCCTTCCCCCTCATCCTCCCTCCCCACTTTCCTTTTAGGGAAAGCAGACTGGAAAAAGAAAAATAAGTTTTTTTGGCAGAATTTCCGGAAGAACCAGAAAGGACTAATGAGACAGACTTCAAAAGGTAAATCTTCTGTAAGGACACGCAACCATATAAAATAGAAGGAGCCAGCACAACAGAGGAGTAAAACTCATTTGCAGCCGTGTAGCAGTTGGGGGTCTGTGGATCTGAAAGTATCACAGGTTTGGTTCAACATGACAGAACTCAGAAAGACAAGTCATATTCTGTGAGACTGCATCTGTATGAGGCTGGGACGCCTTCAGTCCTGACTGTCAGTGAATGCACATGCAAAGTGATAAGGTTAATACATATTTATAAGTAATACTTGTAAATGAACAAGGTGCTTTTTTTTCTGATCTTGACACGATGAGAGAAATGCTGATCTGTTTTAATTAGAAAGATGTTTCTCCTTTCTTTGGCATTTGGTTACTTTGACCTGTCTGCTTTAGGCTTGAAGCCATAGGAGAAGACACTACCAGAAGGAGTAGTAAAAGTGCATCTGGTGACTAGTGCAAATGTAGGATCAATTCCACTTAAAACGTCAGGTGTCTTTCTCCAGTTCTTCTCCAAAAGATGCAGCTGTGCATTGCTTTAAATTTTTCTCTTCAAACAGAAAATTTCTGTTTCCCCACATGTATCTTTTAGACCCTTCTGTTGCAAACAGATGCTTCCCTATGTCACTGTGTCTGTGTTCAGGTGGATTGTGAAAGGTGACAGGAGCCCATTTATGAGGCCGAAAAGGGGCACATTTACACTCTCAGTTAAGCGTGGGTCCTTGCTGGCTCTCAAGGCGAGTTCTAACTGTCTGTGCTAATGCACCAAGCTCATACCAAAAAGAGAGGTCCTGGAGTTGAAAGCCCCAATACATCCAGGACCAGGTGCCAGCTCAGTGCCCAACTGCATAGTCTGGATAGATTGGGGGACCGGGGGGATGTGGCCAGTCCACAGCAGAAAGCTGCAAGGGCCCAGCACACCATTCCTGGAAGGGCTTCCCATCCAGTCTGGCAGCTAACTATGGTATTCCTCAGGGCTGAGCGCAAGATTTTTCTGGCATTTAGCACTTTCTCTTCTGAGTCTTGTCTTTCAGGGTCAATAATTGTGTGATGACAGTCACGTTTTATTTTTCCTTGTCATGCTTTCCTGCTTTCAGTGTCAGAGTAGACTTAGTTTTCTAGGCCTAATTTAATTCCTTTTCTTGCTCACCTACTTCCAAATCATTCAGTCCTTTGAAATGATACTATGAGACTGCTCTGGAGAAGGTCTGTTTCTGGCCAGCCAGATTCACGTGGCAACCAGATTTCAGAGCACTGGGTAAAATCCAGTTTCAGTATGCCCAGCTCTGTGCGTGACCTCTTTCATGTGTTTGTTATCTCTGTGCTTTTTCCTGCAGGAGAGGATGTAGGGTACGTGGCCAGTGAGATCACGATGAGTGATGAGGAACGGATCCAGCTCATGATGATGGTCAAAGAGAAGATGATCACCATTGAGGAAGCACTTGCTAGGGTATGATATTTATGCAGTTCAGTTTCCTGGAGACACATGTTTTAGAATGCAGGATATAACAATTGGGAGTTTTCATTTCTCAGAAAACATAGGGGAAGGGAAGAAAGCTTGCCTGTTTGTCCCATCACACTAGGTAACATAAATTAGATAGCAATTCCTTTGTTTATGAGAAGTCAGAGTTAGCTCAACCAAAAATAGATGTCTAAGATATGGCAAATTAATCGAGTCCTAGAAGTATTTGCTTCTCTCCATTGGCAATAAAGGGTGCCACTCAGAGAAAAGCTCAAGTGTATACATTTTTATTGCAGCTGTCTAAAGGTAGGAAGATGAATAGTGCCTGTACTAGTCCTTATTTATCATGCACATTCATAGGTTTATTTAAGTACTAAAAGGAATGCTTCAAGTTTTGCTGAGCTTACCTTATTTGTTTCAGAACACGTATTTCTTATTATTTTCCTGCTGTTAATGTCTGTAGGGCAGTTTGATTGAAGGCTTCCATTTTCAGCAATTAAAACTTTTAAAAATACGAATGTTTAAGCTGAAATCTCTTCTGCTTGCTTCTTAGCCAAAAAGGTGGTGTTTTGTTCTAATAGCCTTCAAGAAAATATATTCAGTCGTTTTTGGCATTTGACATTAAAATCAACACAGATGTAATTTTTGATAAGTACAGTGGCTGTCACAAGTGTTTCTTTACAAAATCTAAATGTTAATAAGCCACAAGAAAAATAACTATAAGGAATTGTATTAGTGCAGCAATAGGGCTGGGATTTTAATTGCTCAGGAGCAAAAAGGTCAGTGTTCAAGTTTCCACACCACTTTTGCTTTTGTACCCTTGTGCAAAAGACTGATGGAATGCAGGGTATTCTGTGTGGTCTCCCTTAGAGGTGCAGAAAACATGATTTAGATTGTGAATTGGCACTCAGAAAAATTTCTATACTAACATACTGTATCTTGAAATAGATTATCCTAGAATAGAAAGTTATGTTACTGTCTGAAGAAATTTTGTTGGGAATCATATCCTGAAAGAAAATGCAAAAATTTAAAAATTACCGGGTGGTAATATTGGGAATTCTTTTACTTCTCTGTTGCTAAAAATTTTTGGGAGGAGGGTTGTGCCTAATCTGTATGGTTAATATATGTCCTTGTACTGTTTCCCTCTAGTGGTCTGAGCTACTAGCAGCAACTTTTTTTTCTTTTTTGGTATCATCAGTTCCTGATGATCCTCTCAACAGTTTGACTCACATAGGATTGGTTTTATGTCTTAAGCCTTTTATTGGAAACTGGGAAAGATGGTCTTTAGTTTTAAAATTATAAAAGATAGCTTCTAGTCTTTACTGCAGATCATTTTCTTTATGAAGGAAATTGGCAGGCTATTGTCATTTAGTCTGTCCAGTGGAAACTGTGCCTCTGAGATGGGGATGTATAACTTATATTTTACCAATGACAATTCATCAAAATTCAGTGTTTATAGATCACTTCCTTTAAAAAAAAAAACCTTATCATTAAAACTTCTGATTCTAAAGCACATTAATTTATTTTGAACAAGTGAGACATACAATGCAAGAGTTCTGATTTTCCCAGTTCCACGGTGATACTGGGGGGGAACTGAAAGGACATTAACTCTCGCTATTTTTGTGTAGATTGATAGCTTCTTCTCACTGGAAAATGTTCTCTCTGTCTTTTCAAATTTCAGCTGAAAGAGTATGAAGCCCAGCACAGGCAGTCGAGCACTGTAGATGCTACAGAATGGCCTGACGGTTCTTACTCAACATTTGATGGGTCTTCCAATTGTAATGTAAGTACCTGTCATTCTGATATAGCTCCCCAGTATCATTTAATATTTAAATTCTTTTATTGCAGTACAGGAATATGCTGATTTACCCGGTGATTTCCTTAATAGCAAATATATCATTTGACCTTGTGATGCTATATTCTGTCTGCAGAAAATCTTTAACGTGGATTTTACATCTTCAAGGTCTGTTGGTGTAGACTTTAACAGTCTTATTGTATAATCTACCTCTTTTTTTTTCTTTTTTTTCTTTTTTTTTCTTTTTTTTTCTTTTTTTTTCTTTTTTTTTTCTTTTTTTTTCTTTTTTCTTCTTTTTTTTTCTTTTTTTTTCTTTTTAATCTGGCGCTTTGTCACTGAGGTTTTGAAGCCCAAGTTATCCCAGGCAAAAATGCCTGTGTTCCACAATGCACAGAAAAGGTTTTTTAGGTTGTTTAGAGGGAACTGTTTCACTTTGCTTATCAGTTACTGTGAATCAGGAGAGTTTCTCGGGCCTTCCTAGCCCTTGTTGATGCATCCTAGCTGAGGGTCTGGCTAAGTCCTAGCTGCCTGCTGCTTTTAAACTGTTCTATCTCTGCATTTGCTAACTCTCAGCTGAGAGTTTGCAGCTTTTGCCAGACCCATAAGCAGTAAGGCAGCTTTCCTCCCTCGTTTTTACTTCTGAGCTGTGTAGCTTCTGTTGTTTTTATGGGCACCAGACAGTCCTTGTGTCATGCCATACTGAATTAATTAATTTTTCCTTCCAAATACCTTCATTTTCACTAAGTAGTTTATTCCACTTCATTTCTCTAATTGAAAGTTCACAGATAAATCTTAGAGAAGAACATATTCGTCTGTCAATTCTGAGTTCTTTGTAACCCATTTAATTGAATTATAGGCTTTTGAGACCATTGATTGATTTATTTGTTTTATTGTCAATGGAATTTCCTGCTAACTGCAGCAGACAGTTAGCTTCTCCTCCCTAAATGAAAAGAGGAATGCTATGTCATTTTATGAGATGTTTAAAATATTTTGTGGTGGAGAAAGATTTTTCTTGTTTGTATTAAAAAAACCCATGCCCATCTTTAGTTAGATGGGAGTAGAGGGGAGCTGATGTTGCCTTATACTCTGTTCTGATAGATCAGAAATGTGCAAAGAAAAGAGAAGTAAGGACCTTGACTTTCCTGCACTGATTGTTTAGCCAGCTGAAAGATGTCTGGGTGTTTTCCTCATTGGTATTTACAGCCTGAACTTTCCCCTCTTAAGGCCTTTGGTTAAGGTACCTATAGCAGGAAAGCTTCAAAACTCCCATTTACCATGGTCAGATCTCAGAAGGATGCTGAGTTTCTCTCTTAAATCTTCTGATAGCGGTTTACCCTTGTGTTGAAGTTACTGAAAACTGTGGTATACCTCTGAGGACTGAACATGACTCAGTATTTGCTTCCCTAATGGAACGACATGGCACCTTTTCTCCAAAATTATTTTCCTAAGCCATCTTTGCACTTTGAGGCAAGAGCTCTGTTGCCTCTCTGTGCTGTTCTGGTAGGATTGGAACTACCTTCCTGCTAACTCCAATGGGCGATCTGTATTCCGTCGTTGTAGATACCTCTCAAGATTTTTGCCCTTGCTCCTTATTTTTATCCTGGTTACATTTAACAGAAACTGTGAAACTGCTCTCCTTCAAGGGAAAATCAGATCATGTGCAGAAATGAAACAGCATGTTAGAACAAAAGTCAGCTTGGCTTCTTTTTTTGTGGACAAGAAAGAAACTCGGGTTAACTGGGGTGAAAAACTTTGGGCTATAATTAACATGCAAGAGGGAAAAACAAACAGTGCAAAGTATCAGATATGTCTAGAGATAGGGTGTGTGTTCACCCAGACTATTTTGCCAAAGGACGCCTCTATTAATCTAAAATGACCAGCTTTTGAGAGGTACGAACATGATTCTATTTTCAAGCCCTTTCTTTGCCAAATGGTTTGACTTTCAGTGCCATTTGTGTGATTTGTACTCTGCGAATTTGGAATCTCAACTTAAAACTACCCCGCTCATTTTATAGAGGCCATGAAGCAAAGATGTTTTTCCATATATTAAAAACATTTTGTCAGCCCACTGCTTTCTAACCTCAGAAAGTAATTGAAAATATGAGTCACTGAAATTGAAGTTTCTGGGTTGAATTAAAAATCCTTGGGCAATGGCTCTTCTGGTTCTCTTGATGTTTTTTCTGATTACTTTTTTTTTCACTCATGGCCAAATTGTTACTAGGCAATTTTTAATGGAACATTGTGATCATACTTGATCATTTTGTAAATATTTTGTACACACAAATGATAAAAGCAAATTGCAGGATAATTGCAGATTGAGGGAATTTAGGAAAATAATTTGTATTTTACTTGCTAAGCATTTGTTTGGTAACCTTGGGGATTTAAGAGATATCAAGACACTAGTATAATGGTTTGGGGTTTTCCTTCATGTTTTATCTTGCCAGGCAGAAATATCTGCTGGTAGTTAGGAGGACTTGGGAGGATGGGTCACAAGGGTTTTGTGCAGAACCTTGGTCTAGCTTTGCCCAATGAATACCTTCTAGGAATTAAAAAAAAAAAAAAAATAAATTTTAGAATCTGAGCATTTGGAGAATCTAAAAACGAAGACAGAATGTCTGGAGTGTTCTAAGGGTTTAAGTAGTCCATACTTTCAACTCAGCTCTGCCCGCAACATTAGAACAGCCAACTACAAAATCACATCTACAAAAAACATCTAAACCAACATCATTAGTTGTTGTTTTCCGTTTTCGGAGGGGGGAAAAAAAAGACCACTTTTTTTTTATTAGCTGGTACAACTATCGTGTTTATGACTGATATCACTGGTTTGATCCTAAACTCATTTTAAAGATTGATTTAAGGATTCTTTTTCCCTGCTCCTCCTCTTTTAAACTACTGTACCAGGAAATGGAAACTTGCACTTCATACCCTTACAAAACTAAACCCTAAAGATGAACCACAAAGGGTTGAAGAGTCATCATCTCAACACCCGAAGGGAGGCAGGCTGATGTGCTGTTAATTGTATGTCCTGTTTGTTTGCTCTTAAGAAACAAAAAAAACAAACAAAGGCCCTGCCAAGCCAGTAGGTGACTTGGTTCTCTGCCATTTGAGAGCAGTTTGTAGCTTTCAGTCTCGCTACTGTGTTGTTCATAGCAAAGTATGCGTGTTATTTATTTGCTAATGTGGGAATGCAGTTGAAACTGTTTTTCTTTTTAGTCAGATGTATCAAAAGTCTAAAATGCCTCATCATTTTTTACAAATTTATTTCTGAATATTTATGTTTCGTCTCTGCTGGAATGAAGGCTGCTCACAGTAACTCTAGACAAGCTTTCATTGCCTTGTGCCAAGTGTTGGGATGTAAAACAGGTGCAGATTACAAATGGATCCCTTTCTGGATTTTAGATAAGGGCAAATTGTATCACATTCTTTCTTTATACTGAGGTGCCTTTTATGCTTCTTAAAGATAGAAGCCCATTTTATAACTTTTGGGGGTTGAAATTCTCAGTTCATTTAAAACAGGGCTGCTTCATCCCCAGAGCCCCACTGGTACGGCTGTAGCCCAGCTCGGAGGACCAGCATTAGGAGAAATCAGTATAAATCCCTTCCTGTGCCCTCTGCTGAACGACTACAGATCGGTACCAATCACTGTGTTTGATGCAGGAGTGGAGGAAAGGAGAGAAACAACCGAGGCACGCGGTGCTGTTTTATCTCCCTGCCCTTCCAACACTTCTTTACCCAGGAGTGTCAGCAAGGCCCTGTTACCAGTAGAAAACTGGCACCCCATTTGTTTTTGCCGGGGAGAGTAGCAGCAGTTGTGCAGACCTGGAGGTGTGCCATGCCCACCTGCATCTGCCCTGAGGCCAATGCTGGGGAAAACTCCCCCTTGCATTGCCGCTCTTTTCCATCTTCTGTCTATGCACTTCGTAACAGGCAGCAGCAAATCGAGTCCACACAGAGGCAGCTCTAGCTGGAGCGAGATAATATTTTGCTGCTCTTGTTCTTCTTCATATTATTTCCTGAGGATGTTTTCATTTACCAAATCGTTAAATGGGGCTAAAAGTTGAAAGGGTGTACAGTATTGGGTTTCTGTCTACTACCATTGTCAAAGGCAGAATAACAGGTGAGAATGGGCTTTGGGTCATATTTGTTTCGATCCGAGAGACATTGGATCAGGGTTGTATTGGTACAAAGCTGGCTGACAAAAGACGAAGTCTGATAGAATTATCTCTGACTGACAACAGCCATTACTGTGTTGTTTGGTAAGTGTGAAAAGTAGGAAGACAAGACATAATTACAGTATAACTTCTGTAGCACCAATTGCCTCAAGAGTAAATCTAAGCGTAACTACAGCAAATCCACATTATTCAGGGCTATACTGTATTTCACTGATTCAGGTTGTGGATGCTTTCTAAGTACAGCAATTTTAAAATTGATTTTTAGTCCTATTACTGATGGAATCTTAAAACCTTTAACCATTTGTTAACATTATTGTTGCTCGTACTACAGGACTGTTACAGTAAACAGGAAAAAGCCCTTCTTTTGGTATAATTAGTTTAACTTGTTAGAATTAAGCTCAAAGTCGATGCATATTAGGAGCCAGCATTAGATATCAATGGAGACTAGGGTATGATGAGGTTTTTTTTTTTTAATTTAAACAGTAGTGTTCAAATTGAAGCAACATGGGTATTTTGAGCATTTTGAAAGTTATGTACTATGTTAGCTTAGTTTTTGCTGTTATCACAGGACTTAGCCATTTTTGTAAGTTTCGTTGGTGGTTTTTTTCCCACGAAAGACTAAAGTGTGAAAGAGGACGGTTCTGTTTCGGTTCTTCTTGGAGAGCTTGTTGCTGCCTGCAGACCCTGCATGCTCTTTGAAGTAATGGAGGGGAGCTGATGCTGAGCATTGCTATGAATGAATGCAGAGGTTTCATCTTTGCTCCAAAGAGTCTAGTGACCCAATTTCTGTTAAGATTACCCGAACTGATATGCCTC